AAACAGAAATGATAGATCAGTTATTGTCTATAATAAAAACAGCAAGTTTGCAAAAGGGTTTACAGTTTCGAATGGTGGACAGGGAAAGAAAGGAATGATACAGAATGTGATGATTATGAGGGAGGAGAGAAAGTAGATGTAAAAAATTAAAGAAACGGTGAAAGAACAATAGAGATTAGCTGTTAGCAGAAGAAAAGAAAGAAAGAGAATTAAGGAAAACAGGTGAGAGAAGAAATATATCAATGTAAAGTTAAAGAATTCTTTCAGATGGACCAGGGAAAGGAAAAATTGTGCTCTATATGTGTACTAGAAATTGAAATGCATTCTGCTGTCATGTATAACAAATTAGAATAAATAAATAAATATTTAAATAAAATTTTGAAAAAAAAGAATTCTTTCAGTTGGATTTCAAAAGAGTCTCAGCTTCTCAGCAATGTTCAGAGGGGTTGTCTGGAGCCAGATGCTCCACCCTCTGGATTGCTGGAGTGGGAGAGGTCATCCTGGAGGTGGAATTCCTGGAGGCAGGGGTTAGGCCTAAGTGGGCTCCAGGCTCTTTGCAGAATGCCAATTGGTCTGGAGATTTTAAATCAGCGTACCTCCAGGGCCCAGCAATTGCTGGTCCACACTGGAAGACTATACCCCAGGGATCTCTCCTGGTTTCCACTTGTGTGGTGAAGCCAATTCTTAGTCCAGTAGGGCACCTGTGGACCCCCCATTTCCTGGTCTCAGGTTCAGCCTCCAAACTCAATCTCTCCTGCCCCACTCCCTTTCAAATTCAGGCCAGACACGTCTCTCCCAGCGGTCCTGCCAGCAGGGAGAAGGAGAGCTGGGGGTTTCCATGACCAGTTGTCCCCTGTGTAAACCTCTCTCCACGTCTGATTTTCTCCCGGTCACTTAAGCACACTCTATGTAGTGCAGTATGCATTTGCCGGGGCCTGTATTTCAGGCCAAACTTTGGTTTGCCAAGAATTGGCCCCCTCCGCTGCTGGCTCCTGTGCCATGGCTGCAAAATGGTTCCTTCCTCTGTCCTCCACATGCCACCTGGAGAGATGGGGGCTTCTTTCTCACTCAAGAATATCGAAGTGTGTCTTTCAGTTCTGCCGGGCAGTGTCTGTGATCTCCCAAACTCTTGGTACCCAGACACACCTGTGGCTTCCTAAAACATGCAGGTCCCTTTGATTCCCTTTCCATCTACTTTGCTGGCCCAGGGACTGCTCTGGCCTGTGCCTCTGGCCCCAGCAGTGGCTGTGGTGCTGGAGATTTCTCCCTGAGCCCTAAATCTGCTTTGAATGTCCAGTTTTAAATTCCAGTAAAGCCCCACCCCCTTTTTTTGGTTCACCCACCTTGCAAGACGCTGCCTGTCTGCTTTCTTGGTTTCATGTCATGGAGCAGCTAGGAAAGCAACCCTCTCTATTCAGCCACCTTCAAAGTCTCCAGATGTGAGTTCTAAGTGAGTTGGTTCACGTGAAATCTCTAGCCCAGCATGTGATAAGTGCTCAGTAAATGTCAGTTTACTGTTATGATTTTATTATTATCATTTTGATTTGTGTTTTTGTTCTTTATGTGTCTTATGTCACCACATGGACCTCCACAGAACAGTCCAGCTTGTTCATGCCCTGAAGGGACAGCCATGCTGCAGATGGGGGCCACATGAACCCTCAGATCATCTCTCCCTTCACCCAAATGCCAGTTCCTCCTGAAGGRGCCGGTGTCACACAGCCCTATGGACACAGCCTGGGCTCTACCCTAGTTCCTCTATCTGCCAGCTGCACAGCCTGGACCAGTCTCAAATATGTACATCAGAGAGAATCTGCAATATCAGCAGAAAATCACCAGGGACTGTCCTGCTGTCAGAATAAGGCTGGGTTCCCAGGAGAACTAACTGGCCAAGTGTGAACAAGTCGTCACACATCTGCTAGTCACAACCCCCACTGAACTTCCTTAAACTCATTTTGTAAATGTTTTGTTTTCCATAATGCCCGAGGGAGGCTTCTGAAATCTGTTGAGCAAAGGGCCTGTGAGGGTCTCGGGGGCTGTGCTCTGAAATGCTGCAGACCCAGGAACTCCTATCCCCAGGATTTCATGAGGTGCAGTCCTTAGCTTGTTGACCAAGTCTACCTGGGACCAGGKATATTTTTCACTGCCATGATCACTGGGCTGACAAACTTAACTTTGATCTCAACTATAAGCCTCAGTCTCTTCAGCAACCTGAGGGGTGAATGGATATAAAATCAGGACAGGGAAAGGCCCCAAGCAGGTTCAGGGGAGGCCAGGGAGTAGCTGGGCCTGGCCAAGTCCCTCACAACCCTTCCTTGAGGTTCTGTGGTTCTAAACAGCTCACGGAATTCAGACAGAGGCTATGAGGGCCAGCGAGCACCTGGTCAATGCACTGTGACACCTTTCTCCTCCGAGGCTGTRCGTAACACAGGTCCTGCCGTGAGGTGCAGCCTGAGCCCAGCGACCTGGGAGCAGGTGGGGAGGCAGAGGAAGAGAGAGGCAGAGACTGGAGAGGGACCACCTGTCAAAGCAGCTGAAGTAGCCCCCCTCTCCCTGGCTGGCTCTCCAGCCTTGGCTTCCTCCCCTGAGCAGGGTCAGTCTCCCTGCGGCCCTTGAAGTTCCACAGCCCTACACACACTCCAGTTCTTTCTCAGAAAGGGAAGCGCCTCAGAGCCACTAGGAAACAACGATGTGTTTTATTTATTTCTTTCTGTTGAGAGGACAGATCACAAGACAGAAYAGCAGTCCTGGTCACGCATCAAGGTTTGGTTAGTTTCCACAAACGCCATGGACGGGTGGGGCAGGGTCTGGCTGAGTTCCACTCTTATGACCTTCAACTTCTTGCCAYTGCTCTCCAGCAGGGCCTCGTGGAGCCCTGCTGCGTCTCCAACCTGCAACACAGCTGTGGCCTCACACATCACTCCAACACTCACACTCCAGTCAACAGGCAGAGGAAGGACAAAGGAGCTGCCCCTGCTCCCCGGACAAGGGGACCTGGGCAGAGAAGCAAAGACCTCCCACTCTCCCTGTCGCCCATCCCATCTCCACAAGCTGGCCCCAGCAGAACAGGACTCCCTCAGCTGTCACCTGCCAGTGACCCAACTCCAGGATGAGAGTCTGAGCCCAGACTGATATCTGAGAAGCAGGTTAGATGGGACAGAGTGAGAGGGTTCCAGAGCCCCTGGGTTATTGCTGAGAAGATATGCAAGGGGCACATTCCCCAGGGGTGGAATAGAAGCCCTGGGCCTGGAAACCCTGGGTACTCTGCCAAGGGGCAGGCAGATGGGGGCTCCATGGTGCAGGACCCAAGAGGAAAGAAGCCATGGAAGGGCGGAGGCCACCTGACAGCAACCTTGGCTCAACAGCAACTTCTTCCCACCTCCAATAGCTAAGAGGCCTTCCAGGCACTCGGGTCAGGGTGGAATATGGGAGTGAGGGTCTCTCGAAAGGAGTGAGGAGCAATGATAGAAAACTTCCCCAGGATAGTTCGGAGCTGGGCACCTACTCTACCCTCATCCCTAAATCAGGAGGAGGGATTGGGCTCTCAGGGGAAAAGTGAACTCCAGGAAGCAGGAAAGGATGGAGAGCCTCGGGGAGGCAGGGAGGAGCCGATGGCAATGGCTCAGCCCCTACCCAGGAAAGCGAGTCTACAGGTCACGAATATGATACCAGCCACCAACAAGTGGCCACGAAGACCAAGTCGACAAGGCACGTGCACACACACACACACACTAGGTGGGGCCCACAGGCTGCRGGTGGGGAAGCCAGGTTAGTTGCATCATGATGTAGAGGACCGGGATTAGCGGGCACAGGAAGGGCACAAGGGACACACACAAGTCTTGGCTTCTCCTGGGAAAGGGTCTGTTGTGGGGGTGGCTGCTTTCTGAAGCATCGCCATCTGCATCTGAAGGTTGGAGCAGCTGCCTTCAGGTTCTGGAGGCTGAGAAGGGACAGAATTTAAATGAAAACAGAGCTCGGCTCCTTCACCTGCCTTGTTTGTACGGGGAGGGGAGGGCACTAGTGAACTGGCAGAAGACGGGCTTTTTTTTTTGCCCTGGGATATTCCAGGGTCCACCAGGAAGGGACACAGACGGGACAGAGGGTGCGGCGGGATGGCCTTAACCTACAGTCACGGAGACCCATGTAAAGGTCCAGCCCGTCCCCTTCTATCCAAATGGGTATTTTCTGTGATCTCAGTTTTTCATCCACAAAATGGGGTCGGCCCCACGTGTCCTGTCCACTTCTGGTGGCTCCAGGGAGCCCTTGTGTGTGTGGCTGGCCCTGAAGACTGGAAAGCAGTTGCCAGTCACGACCTTCCCTCAGGTGCCTCCCCGAGGAGCAACAGAAATGGCTGCTGAAGCCATGCAGGAAAACGGTGTCCCTCAATGTGGAGAAGTGACAATGCCAGCCTGGGGGCTGTGGTCACATACCATCAGACCTACTTTTGAAGAGGGCTGGAAAATCTCATAATAAAATGTTTTCTATTTTTGGCTTTTTTTCCTCTGTTCTTTTTAGATACATACGAGTATCTAAATACATACATATCATACACACATACAGAGAGTGCACTCCGACATCTGATGACGTGCACGGAGCACAGCTTAATCTAACCAGGACCCCATTCTTGACGTTGGACATCACAGTAAACTGTTTGGTTTTTGACTCATCATTGGAGGCCATTATTTCGAAGCTACTGTGATATGGGAGTGTTTCCAAGTTGTGCCTGGGTGGCAGCCGAGACGGTGCCCTAGGAGGCCCGGCGCGGGCCGGGTGGAAGCACGACTCCCCGCGCTCACTGAGTGCAGGTGGGGACACCTCGGAGTGTCACRGATTGGACTGTCCTGTTGTCCTTTTCATACCTCTGGAAGAGCTCCTCGGAGCAGGAACTGTCCACTGGAAAAGCTAGCCCAGTACTCCTGCCTCACGGCCCTGCCCAGCTCAGTGAGGACAGGGATGGGGACAGGGATGGGGACAGTGGAGGACCCGGGCACAGAGCAGCTCACCTTCCCTCGGGAAGCTGCTCCTCAGTTCTCTGCTTTCTGGGGCTCCGCTGCTGGAAAGAAAGACAGACAGATGGGGTGAAGGACCCCCTCCGGAGGGCAACCCCCTGCAGAAGGGGCGCCTGTGTYCCACACGTGGGAGTCCCAGTCACACAGAGTGGGTGTGACTTCCTGCTCTGCTACTTGCTGGTGAGGGGAACCTGGGCCCCTGAGACCTGGGCCGTAAGWCGTGGTAGTGGGGCCTACCTCCTGGGGCTACGTGCACGTTACATGAGATGACTCTCTGCCCGACAAGAACCAGGTGCTCTGTAAATAGYAACTGTCACTAATAGTGGCCTGTTTGGTGCAGGTTAAGGAGCCATGTCACAGAGTCCTCTCCTGGCACTGTGGGAGCTTGTCTGGAGGGCCCTCAGGCCAGGGGTCCTGGCAATAGTCCCTCCTGGGCCGTACAACAACCCTCTCCTGTCCCCTCTGTTCCACTGGGCAGGTGGTCATGGGCAGTTACCGTTTGCAGTGAYGAGGTTCTCCACCTGGGCTTCCTCGTCCCCTGGAGCCCTGTGGAAAAGAGACACAGAGCCCCATCAGAGGTCTCCAGGCAAACCCAGGAGCATCACCACGCTCCTTGCTGGAGCAGAGSCACCTGGGACCTGTCCCTCCAAGTCCTCTGAGCACTCTCTACGGGGTGGAGGGAAGATGGGGACTGAAAAGCACAGAGTCAGAAAGAACTTACAGGCACCCTTCAGCCTCAGTCCCCAAGAGAAGTAAGTACTAGGAGGGGTGGCCCAGGGCCAGGGGGGCTTAGATGTGCCCTGCCACAGAATCTGGGCTTCTGARATCCAGAGCCGCCCTTGGCCAGGGTGGGAGTTTTATGGGAAGACAGGAAGGCCCCGTGTCGATGCAGCTCACGGAGCTTTACAGAGAGGTGAGCAGCAGGGACAGAGTCGGGTCCTATAGAAAGGACCTGGGCCTCAAGAGAGACCACGAGGCCCTCTTCTTCCCTTCTMCCAAGCCCAGCTGTTCCAGAGGGCAATAGTCAATAGTTTCCAGCACCTTCTATCCCACCCCCRCTCCCCCATATACATCACTGGCTGAGCGTCAAGGTTTTGGCCTCTCTTTTGCCCCTAAGTCAACTGTAATTATCAAATTGATATCCGTACASCCCCCTACCCACACACTCTCCTTCCAGACAAGAGTCCAGGAGAATACCCGTTGAGGTCATACACCAGGGACCCCTCCCTGTCCCTCCTAGTGTCATCCCAGATGGCCACGGGYGTGGCATCCTTACCGGGGCTTCTGATTGAAACTGCACTTGCACCTGCGACCTGAAAGGCAAAGAAATCATCCAAGGTCACAGTCCTGGCCTGGCCACAGTGAGCTGCCCTGAGGCCACACAGAATGCAGGACTACGTTCATGGTCCCTAGACTTGGGCAGTGCACCTTGAACAGCTATATGCTGCAACCCTAGACTGGAGCAGGGTTCCTCGGAGGCCACGGTTGTACGTTCCACAGCTGGAACGTGGCCACACCACCACCATGCACTTGACTGTGGACCTGCAAGGGCACTGTGTGGCCTTTTTTTCCACACAAGACCAGGCTTGTGTGGAAAAAAACAAACACAGGGCCATGTCTCTTGGAGCCCACTGGGGACAGCACCTGTCTCCTTTCTCCTGTGACTGTCCTGCTCATGCCCGATGGATATAGGACTGGGAGAGCCACCTTGCCCATTCTTATCTATGCTTATATTCACCTACATAGTCTTTGTTCATGCTTACCTATTTTACTGAGCACTTACTATGTGCCCAGACCCATGCCCAGCTCTGTATTAGGTCCTGGAGATGATGTGGAGGGCAGAGTCAGAAAGGCCAGGCCTTATGCTGTTCCCACCTGCTTAGCAGCCACAGAAAACAAGAAATGAACTTACTTAGGATAAGAAGGATCCCAACCGAGAAGAGGACCACAGCAAACACCAATCCTCCGATCCTCAGGGTCTGGTAGTCTGCCAAAGGAACCAGGGGTGAGAGAGGGAGAAGAGGCAGRGCACGAGAGCATGCCTGTCCCTCCCTGGATGGGACTGCGCCTCGCTCCCCCTCCCTACRCCCAGGGTTGCTGAGGCTGCTCACCATAATGAAAAGGGTCCTTTTCTTTCTCCTGCTCAGCTGCTGCAAAAGTAAAYAGACATGGTCAAGACAGCCGCACAYGCTGGACTGCCTTGTCTTAACTCACAGATCTCAGTCCCCACAGAGATTCCTGGGAATGACATACTGGGGATGCGTGAGTGGGAGGGCCTGCTGGGGTCAGGGCCAACCTGAGGGTCAAGGCCAGGTACAGCTCAGAGCCGGTGAGCCCTGCATTTAGACTTCTTCTTTTCCTTCTTCTTCTTCTTCCCCCATTTGCATCATTCCCCAAAGGCAGGGTCGGTCATCCTTTTGTGACAGAGGGGGAAACTGAGACCAAGGAAGGACTCATGATTTGCATAAGGCCAGAACTGGTTAGTTATGGTCCAAATCCTTCAGGCATGTTTCTAAGGTTCAGCCCAAAAGTCCTGAGGTGGCTCTGAGGGCTTAAAAGAAAGCAGGTTCAGCTGGACCTGTGAGGGGAAGAGGTGGACAAGGCGATGACAGTCTGTGAGAATCTGTCTTTCCCAGACTTTCTCTGCTGACTGAAAAGACGGGCCTCTGATTAAACATGAGGGATCTGAGAGCCCTCCTACCCTCAGGTCCCAAATGACCAGAATCTTCCATGARAAGGAGCTACGGCTGCCATCTTAGCAGGACCAACCCCTAGATGGTACTTACCACTGGCCAGGACTGTGGGAGCCAGCAGGCTGCACAGAAAGATCAGCACTACCTCCATGGCGTCTGGGGACAGAGGGAGGAAGATATTATTCCCTGGACTGGAGAAGACCCTCCAACCGTCAACCTGATCCAGGGTGAGTCAAATCCACAGTTGTCCTCTGAGCTCTCAGGACCTGGGAGAGTTCAAACCACCTAGGCTGAAGCAGTTGATACGTATCTGACTCTCACAGAATGCTGGCATGCACTGATTCAATTAACAGAACTGAATTAGAACAATCAGCAGCTACTGCGACTAACCCATGCTCCAGGCCAAGCACCTGAGGCTCACAGAGGTTAAGTGACACTCTGTCAGGGCCCAGAGGYGAGGGAACTCAGTAACTCCTCCGCTGCCCCCAGGGCCAATGCGGTAACATCACCAGGACCGTGAAGAGGAGCTCATCAGTGTGCTCCTCTCAGGCCACCCTTCTGTGGCTGTCCCTCGTTCATTAAGATGTGGGCCTCCCTGGTCTGGTTCCCACACCCAACAACCCCGTTCAGAAATTCTTGTTTATAACAGAATAGAGGGGGCGGTACATCAATGTTCCTCTTGCCCAGCCAGCAGGTAGGGCAGGAGACTCACTGTTCCCTGGACCCTCTGGTCAGCCCTGCCAAGTGGACAGTCCTCCTGACCCTTCCTGCCTCTCCTCTGATAAGTCCGAGTCAACTCTTACCAAAGGCTTTAGTCCAAAATCTTCCCCAAGGTGGCTTGATTGTCAAAGGGGATTTGGAKACTGGCCTCTCCCTCACCAGGAGGTTCAGAAAGCTCTGCTCAGGGGCTCATTGAGGACAGGCCACCTGGGCAGAGGCAGAGAGAGGGCCAGTTGGTCCCACCCAGGTACAGATTTCAGTCGTCACACTCCTCAATTAAATGATGGTGGTGCAGAGCCAGAGAAAAGGGGAAGGAACCCGACCCGGGAAGGCCTAAGGTTGTTTGCTCTTTTCCACGTGGGGCGAGACTGGCGGTGGGCTGGATCCCTGGCTTCTGTTTGCTCTGAGTGTAGTCACCCATGACTTTCCCCAGGTCCCCTCATGCAGCCCTACCTGCCCTTCACTTCTCAGCCACCAGGGGTCAGCACAGCTACATCCAGAGCCCTGTCAAGGCCAAGGCCCTAGACTTGGAGAAGGTGACTCAAAGTGCATTTATCAAAAAGTGATCATTTGCTTGTAAAGCTATCTCACTTCATGTTTATATTTCTTTTAAAGTTTACATTATATGTTACATGTATAAAAATATCTGTAGCACACTTATACAATGAAACATAGTATTAAGGTAAACACCCATAAACAAGTAAGTTCGGAACAAGAACATTGCAAATTCTGCTCTATTTACCTATATTTTCCCCCAACCCATCCCCCTGTCTCCCTCTCAGAGGTAATCAGTACCCTGAATTTCACATATATTTGTTGTTTTTAATTTTGTCCTTGCTCTTCTTTTTTAAAAAGCTGCTAATCAGCAAGATTTCAGTTCTGCATGATGAATATGTTCCAGAGATCTGCTTTACATTTTTAATACAGTATTGTACACCTAGAAATGTTAAGTGTTCTTACTCCAATAAAAATACATAATTGGCATACTATGAAATTCACACTTAGTACAACCCAGTGTTTTTTAATATAGTCACAGGGTTGTGYACCCACCACCACCATTTAGTTACATCCCCACAGAAACACTATACTCCATTAACAGTCACTCCCATTCCTCTTTCCCCAAGATCCTGACCCCATTAGTCTAAAACAATGGTAGACAACATGCACACACAAATGCGTGCATACACGTGCGTGTGCCTTACTATTGATTTCAAATGGAGTTCTTCAAAATATTTTGAAAATTCCCCTCTAATCTTTCCAGGATGTTTCTGATTTATATTAATTATAACTGCGGGTTCTATACATATGGTTTTTCTCTTTAATCTATCCCAAACTGTGAGCTAAATAAACCTTCATATTTTTTAATATTTATTTTTTAGTTATAGGTGAACACATATCTTTATTTTATTTTCATGTGGTGCTGAGGATCGAACCCAGGGTTTCATACGTGCTAGGTGAGCACTCTACTGCTGAGCCACAATTCCAACCCCTAAGCGTTCATTCTTTATAAATTACCGGGTGTCAAGTAGTTTGTCATGGAAACAAAAGAGCCTAAGACAAGACAGTATGGTGGTACTGGTCTCATGAACAAGTATTAGCTCTCTTTTCAATCCCTGGAAGTCTGCAGAAGATTGGAATAATCTAGGTTTAGTATTTTCTTTGTAGGAAGATTTAAATGCCTAATCAATTAATTCACAGTTGTGAATATACCTTTGGATATTTATCTTTTCTTGAATACATTTACTATCCAGATACATTTAGTATGAATTTGCCCTTTTTGCTCTAAAACTTATTGTTACAAAGTTGTTCATGGTATTTTCTTGTGGCTATTTTAATTTCTGTTGGATCTGTGGCCATTTCCTTTTTTTTCATTCTTAATATTTCTTATGACAATTCCTTTTTTTGTACATCAGTCTCACCAGAAGTTTAATATTAATCTTTTCAAAGAAATTAATCTTTATTGTATGTTTAAATTTTTTCTTAATTCTGCCCTCCTATATTCTTTGGTTTTATTCTATTTTGTTGTTGTTCCTATTGTTATGTCTTAGTGGGACATCCAGTTCGCCATTACTTAGCTTTTCTCATTTTCTAATTTAAGCATTAAGATGATAAATTTTCCTCCAAGTGACACTTTCACTCTACCATATAAGCTTGAAAATAGGGTGTTTTTTAAAATGACTGTTCAATTTTTTGTACTTTAACTTTCCATTATAATTTTTCACTATAATTTCTTATTTGACCCATGCATTATTAAGAAGTATTTTTTTTAATGTCCACATGGAAAGTCATTTTTAATTTGCTTTTATTACTGACTTCTAACTTCAGGGCACCATAGTCAAAGAATGTGGTCTGTATGACAGATGCCTTCAACTGTGGTCACTTACTAAAAATACACATTCCATGGATTCTTAGGAGATTGTGAATATCTTCACTGTTGGGAAGGAAGTTCTATATGCTCATTAAATTAAGTTCCTGGGCTGGATTGTAGCTCAGTGGTAGAAAGCAGTTGCCTAACCTATGCTAGCCCTGTAGTTTGATCCACACAAATCTCTCTCTCTCTCTCTCTCTCTCTCTCTCTCTCTCTCTCTCTCACACACACACTCACACACACACACTCACACACACAATTAAGACCATTAACTGCTTATTTAAATTTCTATTTTTTCATGATTTTGACTGTTCAATATCCAAAACTGAAATAGGTGCCTTAAAATCTACCACAATGAGAAAGGATTTAAATTTATCCCTGTGCTTCTTAACAGAATTCTAACAGTTTAAAGTTGTTTTATTATCTTGAGATTGGGTTTTTTAGGATTATGCAGCAATTCTATCTTAAAATCTACTTTGTTTTCTACCTTTCTAGGGACTTATGTGTTATGTTAAAAAAAAAAAGCTGCTCCTTTTCTTTCTTGTAAATAGAACCACTACATCTTCCCCTTCCCTCTCCCACGTCCCTGATTGCTCGTTCTGGGGAAAGCCGGCTGCCATCTTATGGGCACTCAGACAACCCTGTGGAGGGGCCCAAGTAGCAAAGAATCAAGGGTCTCCKTCCAAAAACTTGCTAGAAAACTAGGCCCACCATGAACCACGAAGTGAGCTTGGAAGCAGATTCTCCGGGCTTCAGGCAACTGCCTTGCTGGCTGACAGGTGACTGCAACCTCTTTAACCTGAGCCAGAACCGCCCAGCTCAGTTTCTCTGATCCCCAGAAACMGTGTGAAATAATGAATGTTTATTATCCAAAGTGGCTGAGTTTGGGGGTAATTTGTTATGGAGCAGTAGATAATCAATGTAACATATTTACTAAATGATTTGTTGGCCATTCTTTCTGAATCTCAACCATCTTCCAAACTATTTTCCTTATTTCTAAAGATCATCTTTTAGAATCTTCTTTTAAAAAGACTATTTGTTGAAAAAGCCTCTTTTTTTCTGTATCTAGAAATGTTTTCATTTCACCTCTGGGGTGGACAGACCTTAAGGAGATCCCAACCTACTAACATCCAACTGTTGTGTGAACTACCCCTCTTGAATGCACGCAGGAGAGGCAACTTGCTTCTTGCAACAGGATATGGCAAAGGGGATGGGAAACYGCTCAAATGGTGGCATTGTGTTCCACAAGACTGGACCTTAGCAATTGGAGCCAGAGAATGTTCTCCCTTGTTAGTTTGAAAAAGTAAGCTGTCATGTGTGAGGGGCCTCTGGAGAGGAGCACACTGCAAGGAATTGTGGGTGTCCCTAGCAGCTGTGAGCAGCCCTGGGCCAACAGTCAGCAAGAAAAGAGGGACCTCTGTCCTCTGCCGCAGAGAGATGAATTCAGTCAGCCACCTGAAARCATAGCTTTCCCCAGTCAGTCCCTGCATTGGGCAACCCCAGCCAACACCAAGACTGCAGCTCAGTGGACTTTGGAGCAGAGAAGCCGGCTAAGCTGTCCTGAACTTCCAAACAAAGAAACCATGTGATAATAAATGTGATGTTTTAAGCTTCTAAATGTGGAGCAATTTGTTATGCAGCAACAGAAAACAAATGCACTTCTAGCCCCGAAAGGCAGTTTGGCCATGTACTTGATTCCAAAAAAAAATATATATATATATATCTTTTTTTGCTCTGCACTTTGCAGATGATATTCCATTGCTTYCTGGTTTTCATTATCACTATTGAGAAGTCTGCTGTTCATTCTCATTCCTTTATAATCAAAGATCATTCTATCTTTGTTCTGCCTCATTTTAATTTTTTGTCGTATTTGTGATGTTCTGGGTTTCACTAAAGTCTAAATGTTGACTCATTTCTATATTGTCTGTGTGTTCCCTATTCCTGTAGTCATCCTTTTCACCAACTAGTTAAAAAACAAAACAAAACACCTCTCAACTCTCAATCATTGTCCCTTGAGCTACTACCTCTCCTCCGTTCTATTTTCTGACATAATATTTAGGACTATGGG